TTGGAACAGCCTTCTCATAGAAGTGTAGATGAGTGAGGTCGGTTTTGCCCCTTTCACAGCCCAGAAAACCACACTTCCAGTCTCTTGTGCAAGCCGTCACACCCCACAGTCTCCACTACCCCTTATGCTGTTGTCCTCGTCTCAGCTCCACCATACTTACCCTTCAAGTGTCAAATGGGACTGAAGATTCCCAGCCTGACCTGACTTATTCCCTGCCTCAGAGTCTTTATAGGGTGGACCTGGAAGCAGTCAAGCACCTAAGACTTAAAAGGGATCTGTGTCTGGGCTTCAGCTGAGGTCTTGCTCCTTTATTCTCATGTGGGACTTACAAACCCCATCAACAAGAGGGAAAAAACCCTAACTCTCAGCTTGATAAATTTACATGCAGGTTCAGAAGTCATCATCACTGCTTGTGATGACAGGAGAATGTTCCTAGGAACACTGGAATGGTCTGTACTCATCCAAGAGAGCTCTGCAGCAACAGTCTTTACCTTTTAACAAGGCTGGATCACTGTATAAGGTATAAGCACTGTACTGGCACTTCTCTGAAGGTGCCATTTTGCAGTATCTCAGCTTTCACTTTAATAAAAAGCAAGTTGAGCCGCTTGGGAAGAAAACTCAGTATAACTGGAACATAAATGAGGCTGCAGAGAGCCTGGAACAACAGTTCTAAGAAGCAGGAACTGCTCCATCCATCTCACTGAGATGTGAACTCAGTAATATGTCAAAAATATAAGAAAGAACATTTAGAGGAATATATCACAATTTATCATGAGGGTGCTCCCACCGCTTATTTCCCATTTGAGCAGTCCAGAACAAGCACAACCTGATAGAAGTGAAGGGAGTCAGGTACATCTTTGAAAGGTAACAACTTTGAGGCCCCACTATCCCTTAATTATATTAGCAAGTGCATACTCCACCTCATAATGTTATTATATGCATCACAGAATATCATGTTTTGCTTAAGACCCCAGCTGCTGGAGGCATGTGAATATGTGCATCTCTATTAAAAAAGAAGGAGAAGGAAAAAAACATGGTTATGAAGAAAATCCCCCAAAAATGACTCAATGGTGCTTCAAACCCTTTACAATCCTGGGGTTAAATGTCAATATTTAGGAATTTGGCCCTCCTTGTGATCCCCACTTTTAAAAGGTCTCTTTTTACTGTTTCCAGACAGCAACAGTATCCTGGTTCTCCTAAAACAAAGTAAGAGCCATAAAGTTTTCTGTTCTTCCATCCCAACAGCCACCTAAGCAATTTGCTAATATTCCCCTGTTCAGCAGGGACAATCTACACATTGTAGGTATTATTTTCCCAAATTAGGTTTTATTTATATGCACACATTATTTATTGATTGACTGATGGACTGGATTGGATTTGTAAGCAAATACTATGTCCCTTAAAACAGCTGTGGGATACTGCTATGAATTCAACAAGGTCCTAGAGCTGTCTAAAAAGTGACAGAGCAGAGGCACCTCCCTGGATCAAGCCAGGTGCAAGTGTTGTAAACTCACCCTAGACTCACTGTCTTGAGCTGAGTCTGTTGGCTCTCACCATCATGTTTAGCTGTGGACCAAGGCCCTGTCCCTGACAGCAAATACACAGAAAAACAGAAAGTGAGATTTCACACAAGCTGAAGTGCTAAAATGGCTTTGCTTTTGTGGGAGAAAGACCTTCACCCCCCACACCCCTGAGGCAGAAATCTGTTTGGGAGAATATTAAAGGCACACAAAGGTGAAGCATAGTAGTGCTATCACTTTACGAGAATGAGAGATGTGAATTGTTACAATTCCAGTTCCATCTCATGAGCCTGATCCATCCTTAGATGTTCTAGAGACCACATACAAACAAAACAGAACTTGAGAAATTTCCTCTCCAGTGATGGAGAGGAAATTGAGATGCAAAAAGCAAATGATAGTGTCTGTACTCAGTGAGCATATCCTGAAGCACTATTCAGACATAGATTAATTACACCTCAAAAACATCTCTAATGAAGTTGGTAATTATTTCCCTAAACATCACATTTCATGAATGAGGACCTCCAACACAGAGGAGTGAGTGAACTGAGCAGGTTCACAGAGAAAGCCTAAAGGAGAGCCAGAAATACACATCTAAGTCTCATGACTTTCAAATCCATGCCTCAATCACAAGACTCTCTCTTACTACGATGCAACTAACAAGTACCTGATGTCACCATCATTTATTCCTTTCAAAACCTGGTTAGATTTATTTAAATAAAATTCCTCCCCAAACATCTTGAGCCAGAATATATGAACAGAAATCCATACAACTTGGACTAAGCAATTCCTCAAATCCAACTCCAACGGCATACACTCAACCTCTTACATCCCCAGAGAAATCTGGTGAAAATGGTACTGCTTTCAGTACAAACCAAAGATCACCAAAGTCTGCACTGTGGTAACCAGTGGGTTCACTCAAGTTTCAAGGACCTCACACTGAGAAAGCCCAGACATTAGCATCCTCCTGCATAAAACAGCAGGATGCTAAGATGCTAATACGAGTCCTTCAGCTTACCCGAGATGAGAAAGAATCCACACAGAAAATGAGCTGCTAACCAGCCAGGATCTAAATCATTTAGGGCTGTATAAGTCAAAATCAGCATCTAAGACTTCCTCTTCCAAAAGGTTTGGGTAGTCAGTGCATATCACAGGGCATAGATGTGTTCCCGCCCACTTAATTCTTGCACTCTCTGCAGGAGTTAAGTAAACAGCAGTTTACTGCACTGGTTGCAAACTCTGAACGCATGCCAGGTGCAACCCTGGTTTGAACCCAGTTTGGGATGCCTTCCATGGTCTAGTCTGCATCAGAAACTGATCTATGCCAGAAGGGTCAGAGCCTCTGGAGATGCACAGAGGAGCATCACATACAACTCAAGACACTGCAGCACTCTTCACTAATATTCCCAGAATACTGCACAGAATGGGACAGAATAGACTTCTGCACAACAGAGCCCAAAGGGCAGAACACAACTTATCTAATTCTGCTTGTTGGACCTTCTTGAAAGGCAAAAAGCAGAGCCTCTTGCTTCTGTGCGATCTTATACAAGTCTGCAAGCAAACTCATAATGACTTGCAGTTCGCTGTCTTAAGGTGGCAGAGGGGTCTAAAGGAATCAGTATGGCTGTCAGATCTTTTTCCTTCACCAGAAAGGGGACCAGCTACTAACACAGATATTTCTTTATGTACTACTCAGGAACCTACAAGCAAAGTGACCTGGACTAAAAAAACATAAAATAAAAGCAACATTTAAGGAATCCAAGTAACATGGGATTTGTTTTGCCTTAACTTTCTCAATAATTTTCCACAAAGGAAGAAATGTTAGAGACAAGGTGGAAGAAGTCCACTCAAGGAATACTCTCTTGAGAAAGGTTTTAATTGTGACCTCTTAGAAAAGCCATCACTTTCTCTTAAGTAATAATGGGAAGCACTAACACTCAATTAACACTGAATATGACACCTTTCTATTAGCTTTCACCAGACCAACAACCTATGCATCCCCTGACAACAGCAAGATCTCAAATGTCTTATATGGACTGGAACTCAAGCAGAAAAAAAATCCCTGCGGACTAATTTATACTCCCATGGAGTCAGGCAGCTCTGTCCAAATCTATATGTTAAGAATGCTTGAAGAGAAGCAAAAATACTTTCCTCCACAGCCATGTTCTTCTAAGAACAAAACTCCTGCCATTGGTTTTCTATCTATAGTCTTGATCCTTTCATCTCTCACAAATCACCTGCATACCATAAGTACGATGAAGCTAGACATAAGTGAATTCTATTAAATGTATTTAATTTACAAGTTGTTGTCATCTTCTCGTAACACTAAAATCCAACCGAAAAAATCTATACATTTATACCTATTGAATATTTCTTATTAAAATATGCAAAGTGACTGATGTTTTCCCTCTCCTTACACAGAATTAGTACTTGCCAAATTGTGATTTTTTTCCCCCTATCATATTTACACAAGGAAGGCTGAATCTGGAAACCGCTCTAAAATGACATTTGCCATAATGAGGCAATGCTGAGCTCTGCAGTATGCACTGCAAAATCTAGCAAGTTCTCAGACTTATCATTATCAATACCCCTCTAAGTATAAAGTGGGCCTTTTGTTAAATTCCACACGTTACTGCAATAAGAATGACTGAGCGTCTGATCTTGAACGATAAAGAACATGTAAAGCTGTATGCAAGATCAGGTCAATTACAACCAGAATGTGACTGGACACCGCATCACATGCTCCCAATTACAATCTTGGCTGTAATGTAGTTGAACAAATATAATATTCCAAAGGGCATAGATAAGTATTTTTAAAATGATCCTCTAGGACTTTCAATCCTGGTATATTCTCATTGGGCACATTTTGCCCAGCAATTCATGGGTGGTGTGGGACTAGAAAGAGGAGCCCTTAAAGTCAACAGTATAATGTTCGGCTTTCTCTGGACTTTTCGCTTTTGTCAATCAGGTTTCTTTTGTCATTTTAAGGGAAGCAGAACAGGCAAATTTTGTGTTACATGAAGCTTACTGGCCACGCTGAAAAGGTTAAGAGTAAACATGAAGCACCAAGAATTCAAGCATTAAAAATCTCACAGAATAATTGTTAAGGCACAGGACCGGGTGTCTTTTGCTTCTTCAGTATCAGCTTTTTTGACCTGAGTCAATCAGAAAAGGCAACTTAAGAAAAGCAAGCCACTGGTTTGACTGGCCCTCACTTTGTTTTAAGACTGGGTGACAGAGATCTCTATTACTGGTAATAGCTAGCACTTCCAGGAACTCCCCCAGCTCTGGAAAAATGCAGCTGCTAAGACTGATGAATGCTGAAGGGTCCACCTTCCCCTTTTACACCACAGACGACAGGGTTCAGAAAAGCTGGCTCTCAGCCTGCCAGCAATTGCATTTAGGGCCTCAGCTCAAGCCCTCTTCTACTGAAAACTCAAGATCTTTCTGTATAAATACACCAGGTAACTAAAAGGCTCTTACATTTTGCATGGCATCTTGATACTGCGGCAATGACGACAGCTGAGATTCAGAGTGGTACGGGGATAACCCTTTTCTTAGAGTCCTCAAATCCCCGGTGCTAGACTGCTGTAAAGACAAAGAAAAAAAAATAGGACCGTCTGTATTATTAGCCAGCAAAAAAATGCTCATTCTGCTTAGCATGCTTTATTGGCTTTTTCCCTATGACCATTTCTGTACTGCAGTCTGTTCCCATAGCGACTTCTTGAAATGATGGTTAAAATGACCATCTGAGTTTAAATGATTTTCCTTTTGTCAACACCTGGAAAAACATTTGCAAGCAGTTGAGAATTAAGCTTCTACTATCTACTCTATATACAGACAGCCTAGGAAGATATTTTCTTCTGTCCAGCTCCATCTGAATTCTGGATCACTGAATCAAAATTCTGTTAAGATGCAAATAGGAAAATTATATATGAATTCTGACCGCTTACCTAAAGAATTTTAAAAAGTATCAGTAAAAGAAAGGCCTTTTGCACTCATACAAATTCAGTAGAAAACATTTCTAGTTTTTCCACTAAGTCTACATTGGCTGTTTCTATTACAGGCATTTGAAAAAGTAATGAGTTTTTAAACGTTGTCACACGCATTTATTAAAGCTTGCATAGTCTTGTTTGCAAGAGGGACATTATTTATTTGGCTAAGAATTTCTTGTACACAAGGCATCCTGAACAGATATGCTACATGTCATATACACAGATATTATAAATAACACACATTTAAACTGAAAAAAACTCCGAAAAAAAACCCTCACTCTGACCAGACCATGACCAGGTATTTTAAGAGCACTGATTAATCCTCTTATGAGGGAGCCTGTCTTGGGCTATTAGCCCTCTCATTCCATGAATCCATAATGAGACACTCTTAGAATGAGAATTCTTTTAAAAAGGACACCCATTAAAGATCCTGTATATCAGAAGCTAAAATCATGGATCTGGCATGAGAATTATATCATTACTTCACTACTCATAAACATGCTCATTAACTTTACAAATTTTTAAGTATATCAAGCAATGTATTGTTCTTGGCTTTAAAGCTATAAAAGCATGACCTTTTAGATTTTTATGCTCCATTAAGACTTTTGACTTGCATTTGCTGCAGAAATGATATTTTCCACTTCAAAAGAACTAAAGAAAAACCACTGGTGCAATAAAATTTAATGGAATGTCTCATAAATCAGCTCAACTGTATATAAAAAAGCACAGTAACCCCAAGGGCTTGACCACAACCAAAACCTTTAGGACAATCATGTGGTGACTGCACTTCCATTGCTTGCTTCCATTTTGTGCACTCAGAGAAGACGCACCATTTTCTCCCATCAGAGTCCCTTTTCTTGCAGCCAAGTGGCCCATGTGGGAACTCTGAGATTTTCCTGACCTCTGAACACTTCATTGTTTTTAAAAAGTTCTGATATAATCATGAGTTCACTCCCATAACCCATTCAACCCTATCAATTTTCCCTTTACAAGCTGTGAAAAAAGTGGCTACTTTTACCTACCTCAATAAAAGTCTTTAATCAACTATTATGGAATGATTTTGCAGATAGTGAACTTAGGCTTTCCTTCAAGCCATAAGGTGGCACCATAAATGATCATGGGCTCATTTTCAAATGTATTTGCAAGCAAAGATCCAAGGACAGCAATTCTGTGGCCTGGTCACTGCTACAGTTAAAACAGGGTCAGGTAAAGTCCAGCCTGTGGGCCAGATCCAGCCAGCAATGGATTGCATTTCCCAGCAGTCCCTGCCCACAGGGCTGGGGCTGGTCTCCATGGAGACCCCAGCTGGGGTTGCCACGGAGTCTGGCCCCAGCCATGCTGGCAGGGCATACAGCAGGGCAGGGCAGGGAGCTGCTCCGGAGCCACTGGGATCTCGTGTCAGGGGCAGCTTGGTCAGCGCCAGGACAGAGCTGCAATCTGCAGCCTGCATGCTCTGGGCAAAGATGCGCAGGCAGTAGATTGCAGCTCTGCCCCAGCTATTTGCATGGTCTGTTGCTGGAACAGAGCTGCAGTCCACTGCCTGCATGCCCCTGCCTGGAGCATGCAGGCTACAGATTGCGGCTCTATCCTGGCCCTGACCAAGCTGCCTCTGCCACAAGATCCCAGCAGCTTAGGAGCAGCCCCCTGCCCTGTCCTGTCACAGACCAGCTCCAGCTGCGCTGGCAGGACATCAATGGCAACCCTAGCCTTGTGCTATCACAGTGCAGCTGTAGCTGGGATCTCCATGGAGACTGGCCCCAGCCATGCAGGTAGGGGCTGCTGGGAAATGGAGACCAGCTGGCAGCCGGATCTGACATTTCACCCATCCCCAAGTTAAAAGGTTCTCATTGCCCAATGCCTAGCAGCCCAGTACTGGGAAAGAAGGGTCACATACAATGACTAATTTCCTAACAACAATGCCAGGATGTAGCCTGCACCAGTCTGTTGGCTGGTTACATGGGAACAGCAGTTCTGTTCTGGCTGGTTATTCCTCCATGGTCTGGTTTTATACATTAGCATCTCCCACTCACTTGCTGTGCACAACCCAAAGAGAATGAGTACAGTAGTACCCAAACTGAATCCAGCAATGTTAGCTACCCTTACCTCACATGAAACCTTGGATTCTGAAGGCAGGGTGAATTGTTCCCTTCTCCCTCTGAGCTAAATGCACATGAGCATGCATAGATGAATGACAGAAACAATTTGCACAGGAATAATTTTTAGGTTTTTTGCTTGAGGAATCGTAGATGGTTCATGTCATATCCTACCTTCCCACTCCACTTCCAAGAGACAGCAAATGTTTTTCTGGGGTTTAGGGATGGGGCCCAGAACGTGTCTCTCTTTCCTAGGCATTACAAGAATCTCCCAGATGTGTGTACTGGGTTAATTAAAACCAGTTTTAAAACAAATGGTAATTAAACTGATGCCTATTCTGCATATAACTAAGTCCCTTGTTTTGTGGTCGCAGTTGGTGAGATGCACAGACTTCAGATCATTGGTATAATTCACATGGAGTTCAAACGTTGAACATGGAGTTCAACAAACGTTATGAAGGCCTTTGGAAGTTTTTTTTCAGGCCAGAGGTAAAGCATATTGATAGGTGACAGTAGAGCAGGGGTTGCAAATCTATGGCCTGTAGGCTGGATGCAGCCTGTGGTGACATTGGATACAGGCTGCAGTGGAGGCTTCGGAGACATTCTGGAAGTATTGTAGCTAAGCACTGTACCACACCACAGCCAGGAACTTTGCCACAGCTGGGTCCTCACCTTCAACCCAAGCCGGGTCATTCTGACCTGCCACCAGAAAGCACTGCCAACCCCTGCAGCAAAAGATCTTCAACTGCCATATATCTGTCCTCAGAACAGATGGAGACTAGTCACCAAGTACTGGTTCAGTACCTTCTATCCACGTTATGCGCAAGATTGAAGTGAATTCTAATTTTCCTGTTTTCTGTTTTAAGATGACATACTTCAAAATCTAACTTGTTCCTTGCAAATTGCTTTCCTCCAGCAGCCTATCAATCACAAGTCAGAATGATTATTTCCATTAAAGAAAAAAGATCACTCTTTTTCCTTTTTTGGCTGCAGTGGAAAAGCATTTTAAATTAAAATGGTGCAATTACTCTGAGTATGTTCTTCACCCTTTCTAAACATTTACATGCTCATTGGACTTTGCTATCAGTGTCTAAAGTTAACTCTGACAAAATGTGAATCCCTCATTAGCAAGCAATACGACTAATGATGCATCAAAATGATCAACCATTATTCCACTTAAATCTAAATTAAAAAACCTGGTACTTGCATTGTCAGTTTGCTCACAAAATGAAATCTCTTATTACCTTGCCCAATTTTCATTATCAAGATGGAAGTGTCTCCTAAATTGCTTTTCTAGTCAAAATGGCATTTTAAAACTACAATTGCTGATCATGTCTTTCCTCCATCACTGTTTGGAGATTATCTCAATTAATGGGCAGCATGTTGATAATAAATCACTGCTCAGGTGAAGTCATTTCAGATTTCTTAAGAGTTCCAAGAGAATGTCCTGACAAAATAGTTTTTCTTCAAAACTAAAGCCCTTCGTGGGAATGAGCCACTCTTGTTTAAACTTTAAGAAGGAAAGTTTTCTATGCTGAAGAGCAGGAAAAAAAAACACGTCCCCACCCTTCCCCTCTGCAGTAGACAATAGTTTGATGATCCTGGAAATCACCTAGAATGTGGGAATTTAGGTCTAAGTTTCTCCTTTGCTTTATTCAGACCAGGGAGTTGAATACCTGGTTTCCTACATCTGAGGGTAGCATCCTAACTACCAAGTTCATTGGCTATTCTGGGGTAGGCCTCTGCCTCTGCAATTTTCTGCAAAAAACAGGGAAAAAAGCCCTTGGTTTTGTCTCCAAGCAAAATGGAAATATTTTGAAGTCTCAAAAGGTAAATTTGACAGGAAGGGAAAAACCATTTCTCATGCTTTTCTACATCTTTCTCTGGGAAGAAAACATTCTATACAATTAAAAGCTTTGCACCACTGAAATTAATAGGGTTTGGTCCTATTTTTTAACATAGTAAGTTCTACCGATTGGAAGCAATTTTCAAAGAACAAGATTAATTCTAAAGGGCACACAGTGATCTATGCCTAATCCAGCCTTTGTTTTACACCTAGAACTCATCAACTTCTTGTGTGCACAAGGTCACAGGTAGAAGTTGAAGAGACTCCCTTGGCTAACAAAAATGAATCCTTTAGCTCAGGCAGTACAGGCTTGTTCTTTTAGACCCAGGAGTTCTAGGCTCACTCCCTACTGCTGAAGATCCAACTAAAGGCATGTCATTACAGCATATTAATTATAGTAGGATTTGGATCAGGCTTCTCATAGACATTTCTCCAATCATGAAAATCAAAAAACGATGGAGAATGGCCTCATCCACCCAAAAAACAAATTTCATACATTCAGAGATGTTTAGCGTCAGAAGGGACCTGAGTAGATCATAAAGTCCGACCCCCTGCCCTGGGCAAGAAAGAGAGCTGGGGTTAGATGAACCTAGCCAGGTGCTTGTCCAGTCTCCTCTTAAAGACCCCCAAGGTAAGGGAGAGCACCACCTCCCT